TTGTTTTGGCTGCTGTAAATACGATTGTTTTCTCCAGAAGAGCTATGGGGGTAAAAGCGGCGTCGAATTTGCGGAGGAAACAGCCGTGGCCCCCTACACATTTCGCAGTATCGACGGGGACAATTATAATGGCGCACTCATTTTGAAGTAAAAAAAAATGCCGTTAAGAGGGGATGAAAAGGCAGCTTTTTAATGCGACAGATGGTACATGTAAAACCTATTCATCTTTCTCAATACGTTTTTGTCTTTCCTGAGTAATGCATATTTTAATAAATATCCTTCGATGGAATTTTAAAAAGTTCATCATTAAGGGCACCCACCATTGGTAATGCAGAGGCAAAGCACTTAAGCGGTGAATATTTCCTTTACTTATGCCTACGTAGTGTGAATTCATCGATGTAATGAACCACTGCTTCAGGATGCACTTATATAGTGTGTTTGTCCATGGGCAGCTGAACGTAAAACAAACTTAAAACTGTTCCGCTTGCTATCGCATCTCACATTGCTGGCTTTATGTTCATCTGTAATTACACTGCTTTCATTGGGAAACATAATTGCCAAATAAACGAATCACTTCACGCCATGTAAAACCGTTCACATTCTCAATTATTCACTGTGCAGTATATTCACATGAACTAAGACACCATTCCCCTAAATAGATTGGTAATGAATCCACAGTTTATTATTCTCTCCATAAATTCAGCAACATGGCATCGGAATATGGTATAGCTCAATGAGCATTGTAATGGCAGTACAAAAAAAACTTATATAAGCACCTTGTCAGCAGGTTACTGCATATTAGAAAGCACTCAGCAGTGACTGGTAGCTCAGGGCGGGGGGAGGGGGGGGTAATGTCCATGTCAGGGAACTGAGCCAACATCTCTTGATCTGAGGTTCAAGCCACAGGGCAGACACGTTCCAAAAGAGCATTGATCACTCCTGTCTGGAAAGGATTTCATGTGCTATGACTTTGATGGTCTCTGCCCAGCCACTGATGACCCATCACGAAAAGAGAATGATCTTGAAAATGGTATTTGCCCTCAAATCGATAATAACAAAACCGCGAGTAGCAGCATTGGCAGATGAAAACAAATGTCTAGCTGCTCTCGAACCTGTTGGAGAGTTCAGGCCGTTTCTAAAAACGAGTTAAAACGGAGATCCTCGTAATTTCGTTTTAGGACGAGGCGTGTAAGCGGTTTAATTAATAAACGACCGTGGCAAAAAAAAACAATGTTAGGTTCAGCACTGTGCACTTTTCAAAGAAAACATCCGCAGGTTCTTCATTTGTTCACCATTAACCTGCTCACATCGGCGATAGTGAAGTTTCAATTGAACGCTTAATGGCTAAACACCAAGATCCTCCCCCCGCCCCCGTTGATGTTGCCGTGGATAAGCGAGCAGACAAGCAGTGAATATGTTTTCTTTGTTAAAATATAAATAGTGTATTTACCTAAAAACAGACTGATCGCAAGTTCTCGTACAAAATAACGGGCAGTGTGAATTCCCTCTGACATTGTAAAAAATTAACCCGTAAAAAAAAAAATTTCACTCTAAATCCTTTATATGCGTGGTGGCTAGAGTCCTCTCGTCCTCTGGCTTGAGATGGCTGCCACCTATGGGTCAGATGATTGTCTGCCAGCATTAAGCAATTGGTAATTCAATATTTTTTAAAAATTCCCTAAACGGTGTAAAATTTTGGAAAAATTTATTCACGAAAATTAATTGTCACGCACAACGAGTCTGTGTGGAAAATGTCAGCTCGATTGGATCACGGGAAGTGGGTTAAAAAACGACCGAAAGATTTGCACGGTCGTAAGCAAGCAAGCAAGCAAGTGAACTTAATATAAAGGATTTTAAAAAGATGTATCGCTCCATTTGAATTCACGAGAACCTGCGTTAACCTGAACTCAACAGCGGGTCATCAAACCCGTGAGAGAATACTTTAAAAGAAGTCAAAACCCTTTGCCATACTGCCTTGTTTTTTTATTGTGTGTATGTCAGCATGTATTTCCAGCATCAATTTATTTTCATCTCTTTTTGCCCATTAAGAACTGCCCTAGAAGCAAACCGCAAAGTAACAACAACAACAAAAACCACGACGGTATTTCAGTGTTTTGGCTGCAAGGGCTCTCAATGCTCACCATTCGTCACCACACATCATTACTCTTTTCTGCAGTACTTACCATAACAACCCTGCAACACTCCGGGACTGCACAGGGCTTAAATTTAAAACACAGCACGTTGCCGGTGCCCTTTTCCGAACAACATTGCGGCTGACCATGAACAACATATCCCGAGTTATTTTTTTGATAGGCCCATACTCTCGTGACCGATGTTGTGGTATTGCGGAATGAAGCACAATGGAAGGGTGGTCAAGGCGCGGCTGCACAATGTCTTGCTGGCGCCAATGCTGACCGAAGGGCATCCACGAGTGGGAGCTTTAGAGAGCCCCTTCTAAAGGGTGTTTGGCCTACTCTTTCACTCGCGCCAGACCATGTCTATTGCCTAATGGTGGCGAACCCAATTATATTCTTTTGTTGACGCGGGGCAAATGGATTTAACAGACTTGCCTATTCTTTCGACCGCCGCTTCGGTGGATGTGATGAAAGAAGCAACCTGTGGATTGCAAGTCCAGTGCGCTAACCATTAAAACCATGTTAGCATCTAAATACTACTAATACCATGCATTCACACGGGGTGTCCTGTGCTGGAATGCTCGGCCAGTAAATGTGCGTCTGTGGGAGGACACAGGCATACCTTGACAAAACCCATGCATACAAATGTTTTTGCACTCAAAAGTTCCAAGCGTATAGATTCAATCAATGGCTGTATACACATTCTCTGGCTACCGCGAATTCCAATTTACGAATGTTTGGTTTTAAACTTTTCTCTTCGCCTCCTGCCGTATGCGTCCCTTTATTCTCCTGCAGGGATGTTTGACAAAAAAATTATACCAGTTCAGCGTCTGGCATCAGAAGGCGCTTTTAACCTGATATCGCAAGCCTCTGTAGGTCACTTTGCCATAACTGCTAGATGTTGCACAAGTACTTTCAATACTATTAAATCGCCAACTTTTATCCACCCACTAGACCGTAGCACTGCACCTAAGTGGAGTTCGCTCCATATACGTTGCCTATTAATGTTTCCCTCAAAAGATGTGCTCAGCTTCAGAAAGAGCAATGACACTGTTTTGGTTTTGGGAATTGCGTTTGTGCTGGGCAATCACCTGTAACTTAGCTGAAACCATCAACCTCTGCACATTGTAATGTTTTACCTCCGGTGGTAAACTGGGGCTTGAACTCTTGATACCACCAGTGCTGAATCAGTACACTGATATGGGTTGTGGACTCGTGCATCATGCAGCTAAAGAAAATTGCTCAGTGTCTAAAAGATGAACATAAGGAAGGAACATTTTGAACATTGAAGGATGCTCCTCCGCTCTCCAAAGTGTTTTTTTCAGATCGTACCGTGCGTTGTTCAGCATGACGTCTGACGTTTCGCTCCACATCTCAGTTCCTCAAGAAGCTGCCTGCAGGTGCGGCGAAATATTGGACAATTATATTGCGCCGTACAACACGAGGTACAACCACAAGAAACACACTGGAGAGCCACAGAGCACAAGTGCGATATCCGACGCAGTGGTATTGAAGGATGCAAAACAAATACGGTAGTAATCAAGCATCAGCATACAAGTACCCATGATAAGCAACACTGCAATATTGTTTTAGGAAAACTAATGTAACCACTGCTACACAAATAAGTGTAAAGCAGAGCTCCATGATGGGCCCTTAAAATATCGAGTGTGGATGGAGGAAGCATTGTTACAGATTAAGCTGATGTGGATATTTGGACAACTGAAGTGTGAAAGCCAATGCTCCCTTCAGTTTGTCCATGTTACTGCTGTCTGAGAATATTTTTTTTGGAGAAATGAAACAATTTGATATAGGCAAGTCGTGGGAATTTCCACCCCATCTTAAGATTTGCAGGACTGGATTTTCATAAACAGAATCGCTGACTCCTTACAAAAAGTGACATCTCTAACCGTAAGTTAAAGCAAACCCTTCGCCTTAAGTGCTGGTAGCAAGCGGTGAGAGATCTTCTTTTCGAGCAGGACTGGCTTTACAACAATAAACATTTCACTGGAGGAGAGAAGAATCGGACATTAAAGTAAATGCAAATGATTCCACGGTCACATAGGCAGACACCCGCATTTGTCAAAACAAATGCTAGCGAGACAATATATAGCTTACTGCACCGCTAAACATGACAGTAAGCTCATTAGACGTAGGTCTCAAACACAAGTCCAGGGAGCTTACTCTTGTCTACAAATATGTGCAGATGTTCAAGTTTTTTCATAAGAACGAGCGAAGCAGGACAGACAAACAGACAGAGGCAGAAGCACAGAAGCAATATGATCTTGGCCAGAGTTGTGGCTCAGGAATTAAAATGGAACAAAGGATCAGGCAATATTCACAATTTTTAATCAAAACTCAACCACACATTTATTAACAATTTCAAATATAGATTTGTTTTAAATATATATTTTTAAAATTGCAATGTAGCTATAATCGAATAACTTGTTGTAAAATATTTTTATATCCTCAATCTTTTAAAAGTGCCACCCATTTACAACCACACTTGCTGCACCAACGTTGTTAAGTAAATTGCAGATACCGTGTGATATATCAGTGACACATATCAATCTTGCACTGCCACATGACGATGGATAACTTGGGGTAGGGACCCACATATATCTCTTTCAATGAAAACAAATGAGATGAATCCATCATGCAGGCAAAGGCAGCGATAACAACACCTTGATTTCACGTGTCACCTAAAGTTCAGAATTTTTTATTTTTTAAATAAGATGTGGTGACTGATATTTTTTAACCTTGACCAGGTCACAGGTCCCAGGTCCCAGCTGAAATAACATAATCATTGATAAGAGAAGTCATTCATAACATTGTAAGATTGGAAATAAAGATATTACGTTTCTCATATAATCAAGCAGATAATTTTATTTCAACAAATTACAGTGAATGATCATTCGTTTTATAGAAAACCATGGACACAAAATACAATGCGCTTCGTGTGGTATGATAGACTGTAATTTTTTGTAGTTATACTCTTAGAAATAGCATGTACAGTTGCAAAATATTCTATAAAAAACATTATTTTTCTGGCACGTGAGATTTCACACCCCTATCCACCTACCACATTCTTCGATTGCTTTTATAACATTTAAACAGAGATTTGTGAGCAGGGAAGTATGAAGTAATTTGCATAAAATACCCCAGCAACTATGCGAACGTTGGAGGGAAATTAAATCCTAAAGTTATTTAGCTTTTTCTTCTTGAACAACCAGTCTTAATGCTTGCGCATTGACCGGGCAGAAAATGATTATGCATCATAATAATAATGATACTACAGCAATTATTTAAACTACTTAACCGATCACTGTTAAAGGAGCTACATTTGAAACACTGCAGTCAGCGTGGGCGACATTACAAAACAGGCTTTTTGGATGTATGAAATATATAATGGAATAATTGTTTTTATTTAAAATGTTCTCTGTACTGTCTCGTCTATAATTATTGAAATATTAATCTTGAGCAACCACGTACCGTTATCCTTTATGCCATTATGCTGTCACATCTTGTCCACAAAATCACATCTCTGAGTTTTTTCTATCTCAATATATTGAAATTGAAATGCACGCTGGGCTCCTCCTTTGATCATAAATCTTTTATGAGATACAACCTCTATTTCTGCCACTTTCTCCTCTTTGTGTGGAGTATTGCTTTGTGCGTCTCCACAAGAAGAGGAAAAATACGCTGTGGCAGCCGCACATTGAAATGCAAACCTGGTCATGACACACGCCAGGATGAGTACCATTAAACAATAAATAAACCCGATGTCCACACTGTAATTTCAGTTCATTTGCCAATAAACGTTTTTAATATGTAACCGTAGATCACTGGACTTCTCTTATAGATTTTACGGCGCGCCAAATAAAAAAAAATCCAATTCGATAACCTGACCTCCCTACAAATCCACAAACATGTTCAACGCACGAATGCATTACACGGCCTGTTCGTTGACGAAAGCAACACGTCTTTTTCACTTGAAATCCTGATCCCAGAGGGGGTTACGTCGAACTTGTCCGAACACGCCAAAGTGGTGACTCTCCACTCCCCCCGCGCCCGCCTGATGCTCAACCACCGCATCGCTCTCCCACCACCGTCACAGCTCCTGTCTCAGCTCCTGAAGCAGCGCACCCTTCCCCTGCATGTCCCGCTTCCTCCTCTCGCCGATGACATCCTCCAGGCTCTGGAAGCTCATGACGATGGGCTCCTCCTCCAGGTAGACCTTGAGCGTGTACGGCTGCTTGCCGATGCGGATCTCGCCACCGCTCTTGAACTCTCGCCGCTCGTAGCGGCACCAGGCGGCGAAGCCCTCCGAATTGTGCCAACGCGCGTCGGCCACACCGCGCGAAGGGCCCACGTGCTTGCACGCGTTCTGCACCACCAGCTCGACCTCCAGCGGCTTGAAGCGGTACCAGTCGCTGACCACTCGGCCACGCCATCCGCGCGAGGCCAGGGCGAGTGTCTCCCTCTTGATCTCCTGGTTGCAAAGGTGGACTACCTGCCCGTTGCCCACCCACACGGCCCAGTGAGGCTGCTTGAGGGCTCTCACGAACTCGACGAGGTCACCTGCTTTGCAGCGGGTAGCGAGAACATCCGGCAGGTACGTGCGCAGGTTCGTGCAATTCCTGCGCTTGGAGAAGATGCACTTGTCATTGTGGTTCACCGTATACTCGATGTCATCGTTGCCGCTGTCATCGTGGGCAGCCGTGTTCGTGTCGTCTGTTGAAATCCTGCCCTCCTCCACGTGATCTTCCTCGTCAGAAAAAATGTAGGAGACTCCGATCTGGGAGCCCAGGTCAGCATCTAGTCCGGTGGGGTCGGCGGTGGGCACTTCGTTGTACGTGAGGTGAGTCAGCCGCTCCACCTGGTTTCCCATCGCATTCAATTTGGCGTGTGTCTGCCACGGAACAGTTTTAGTTTTTTACAGTGTGCTCACAAGGCTGCGCTTCTTGGGTCAATAGTTGCACACACACACACAGGAAACGCTATCTTCTGTTGAGAAATCACAAGCACATTCCCACGGCACATTCACCATAGATAGATGCTGTCCAGTGTAGCAGCTGTCCTTGAATAACCAGCGCAAAGCAGGGTCATACGCAGGTGGAGTGCCCAACTCCAAGGAATGAATTAACTTCTCAATCGCGAAGCCGCGGTGCGGGAAGAGCCCAACATTACAGTTGCCTCTCCAGTAGCCTCGTGCAGTATTCACAGGCACTCAACATCCTACTGCACAATTGTTGCTCAATGCCTGGGCCGTACCAAGTAACAGGGGTGTTATTTAATGGTCTACGTGTCATATGTTTCACGGAGTGAAACGGATATCTTTGTTTTTGCGCTATAATATTTACAATCAACAAACATTGTTTTGTAAATTCCCTTCACCGCAGCACACATAAAACAAAATATAGCAACGCGTATGATAACATACAGTGTTATTTTTTGTTTATATATATGGATGAAATTTTTGTTGGTTGAATATTATTCAAATAAAACTGTCTAAAATAATTTGGAGCGCATATATATACATAATTTACAAATGTTACACTCATAAATGATGTGTTTGAACAAAAGGAACACTTTTGATATTCAGCGCAGGTTGGCACAGCCTGCATTTATCCAGAGATCATCCGCTTGCCTGCATAGCCTCCGTCTAGCTTCATAAACACTCGCAAGGAGTGCAAGTTTGAGTAATTACTCAGGTAAGCTGGCAGCCGTCCAGAGGAACGATTCATCATTCACCGCTTGCTCAACTCATCCCAAGCTTCTGCTTCCCATCACGACAGAAAAATAACGAGGTTAATAAAAAAAAACGACTTCAAATCATCGATTTTTTTTCCTCTTCTCGGGAAAGTAAAATTAAATGTCACCGCACCGTGTAATCTCATGCTGTTCGGCGCTAAAACAATTAGCAACAACTGGCGTCTGGTTGGACATATTAAAAATAGCGATCGTGTGATTTCATGTATCTGTGTAATTTTAACCGTGACACAAAGTTGATTCTAGCAGAAAAATATAATTACACGTAATTATTTATTTACTTGCATTGAATTCAATTCACAGTTATTTCCTCACAATGGTTTTTGATTAACCAATTCCGCTGTGCATTTGGCTACTTGAATACGGTAAATTCCAGAGCTTAATTCGTCACGGAATATATTATGGGGCCCCCCAACTCCCAATGCTCTGGACCCCCGCCCCACCCCCTACTATTGAGGGGGGAGGGGAAATCTTTCTGGAGCTCAGCCCTGGACCTCTACAGCTGAAATTAAGCTCTGATATATGATACAATAAATGGATGGCTGCATGGGCAGAAAACGCAATAAGCATCAGCACCATTTGGGCTTTTCTAGTTGCTATATGTTCCCATCCTGATATATAGCACAGCCAATTTATAGCATGGCCTATCTGCATTGATGTTGTAGCTCCGTGAAAAAGGAATCACTCCTTTTTCCAATATAAGAATTGTCATAATGCAGAAAATATAGTCTCCTGTTCACGCCGCACCACTTTCCGAGTAATGGTTGCAGGCTCTTCAAACTATTTCCTCGCACAATTTCCCACCGGAATGAAAATAGAAATCTAGGGATGAATGAAATAAAAAAAAGGAATCCTCACATACGCGCTAACAATGCAACGCAACTCACGCAGGGCCTGCTGCCACCTGCTGTGTAAGGAATTGTGCACACTGCGGTGAAAAGTGAACATCCCCGCCGGTACGTTGCAAGTGGTCGAGTCCCCCCCCCCCCCCCTTATGTTAATTTTAACAAGAGCCTCACCCCCCATCCACGTCGCTCATTACCTTTGAGTTGGCTGCAGGTGTGCCGCTTCAAGCGCCCGTCGACCAATCGGCACACGGCACACGACCTCGCGAAGGACCCTAGAAAGATAGCAAGAGCACTCGTCACGGACCACAGCCTGAGTTTCAATAGAGATGGAGTAACTTTCACAGGAATCAGTTTGGTGTGAGATTAATTGAAATCGCTCTCTTGTTGAAAGACAGTTACAGACATGCAGTGAAACACTATTCTGCTATTATAGTATCATTGAATAATACATGAAAGCTATATTTTTGTTATGTTTAAATTTTTGTTACAACCCCTAAGGCTCGTCTAACAAACAACCGTACATTTATAATGAAACACTTGAATCATCTTCACTTTAACATGATCCAGCAAATTAGTTAAAAATTAACACATTGGTAACACAGGGAGTGGTGTCATTTATGTAACAGCTTTTGGTCTGCCTGCGTAAACATCAATAATCTGACCCATTTATACGTTCACAATATGATGTTTAAAATACTTCCATGCACACTGCATCGTTGTATTTTAATGGCACATTGTGCACATGCCATATCTTAAAATAAAAAAAAAACTATCGCAGCTCTTTTTACAAAGGATAAACAGGGCAATAGTTTAGACATCAACAATGAACTTGTCCAACAAAGTATTGCGTATCAAACTGATTAAAAAAATCCCATCTTTGCCCAGTGCATGCAGAAATCACATGCTATCTGACGTCCACCTTATCCAACACTTAAGAAATAGCACATCCTCAGGAAATGGATATTGGATTGACGCTTCACCACAAAGGCAACTCTCACGATTCATAACGTACCGCCTGAAAATCCTGCACAATTTTCCTCCCTTTGCACACACCGAAATAAAAAAAACTCTAATGCGCCCGTGTGACCATGAACGTGTGTTGTTCACAGTCTGTGCGCACATTAGCGCGGGCGTGCGATTTAATGTGTACATGGATATGTGTGCGGTTTTTTTTTGTTTCCTCTACGTGCTATGAGGTTCACCTGCCAGCTCGTTAATTGGATGTCCAGACTAGAGCAAGATATTGCTGCGCTACTACTGTGCGTGCTCGCTTTGTTTTGATCAAGCCAGCCTTCAAACCCTCTGTCTCCATGGTAAGATGAGTGTGGGAGTATTGTCATGCCCGTGCGCTTGTATCTACGCTTATTAGCCTGTCCTGCTTTAATTCTGCAGGGATGACAGCTAATGCACAGAAAAAAAATATTACTTATTATTGGCCAGCGATACGCTGTTACATAGGCGCACACACGAGGAATTCCTGCAGAACGTTAGTATGTAAATGTGCCTTTTGATTTATTAATTTATTCATACATTTTGCACAGCAGAATATTGGCATATCCGGAGGGATCTCAAAATGTTAAGATTGTTCTGATTCAATTTGTAACGATTTATATATTTTCTAGTTATTGATTTCAAATCACAATTCTTTGTTTAATAGTTGCTGCCATGAAAAAATCATGTTTTTTGTTCATTGCATATTATCGTGCGCTCAAAAGAAGTCAAGCATCTGCAATTCTGGCGATGAATTTTCTTCGGATGATACAAACACCAACATCGCTTTTAAATTAGTACAAATAATGAAACAAATTCTGTAAATTCAAGGGCATTTGATACGCAGTGGAAAACGTTGACGATAATAAATGCGGCATATTCTATAACACATTGGAATAACAGGAGCTGTTTACACCATATAAAAAAAAATCAGACCACGTGAATAAATTCACACATTTAAAATTCTGGTATTAATCATGTTGTGCTGAGCACCAAATTGCTCTGCAATAAAAGTCTCTGTTAATTCTCATTACAGCCTTAACACGGCGAAAACACAGCACACATATTAAACACCTCTTCGAAGGTCCAAAAAAACAATAAGCAAGGCATAACAGTGTGTTAAGTGACAAAGTGAACCAGTGTTTGCACAATATTAATGCCACACTTGTGCACATTTAAACCATTATACTTTGTAAATTACTATTAAGAGCGCACGACTCATTTCCTGCAATTTACCAGCCTTATGCAGAGGTGCGGCAATGCACCAGCCCAGTGGCTGTGTGATCGAGCGAGCGGCTCGGGATCGGAAGATTGTGAGTACAAATCCCAGTTAGGCGATGACTCGGCCCATCATCCTTCCTGGGTCGATAGCATTGGTAGTGTACCACTTTGTGAAGGATGTCCGACAGATAAGACTCGCCCCCGCCATAAAAATTGGGGCATTATCCAGGACTGGCTAAGGGCTGTAAAGAGATGAGCACTGCATTAATGCTCATTTGAGCAGAAGTGGTTTTACTTGAGTGAAATTTATAATACTGAATATCTATAGTCATGGTGGACTAAGGGTATGCCTAAAGGAATGCACTTATGTACATATTTGTGCGGGAGCTGCAATTCGTATCTTGGAATACTCCAGAGCTAATTTACTCCTATTGGCAATTAGGTCTAAAGAAGATGATGTATACTGTGCAGTTTTAATATGCTCCAGGCACTCGAGCTACCTTAAAGCTAATAAAGATTCGCAAATGAGTTCTTAGCATAATGGTGACAAATGAAGGTCAGAGCGAGGAGTCTTATTCAGAAGAAACTTTACCAGAGGACATGCGGAAATATATAAACGTAACAAACACTGTTTTCTTATCATATACGTATACTAAGCAGAACCATATTCACTGGAATATTTTATGATAAAATAACTACTGTATTAGCAATGTATTATATAGGGTTTCGGTATGTATGTGTACTTTTATTCACTGTGTACAGTGGATACTGTATGACGAAAAAGGTGAAGAATAAACAAATACGTTTTTACAAGCCTTATTACTTGCCTGCGTTGACTGGTGGTGGTGGTGGTGGTGGTTTAATGACACATTTATATTTACGCAATATAACCCAAATCCCCCCCCCCCCCCTTTATTATGAATATTGACCACACCTGCGTGTTAAATAAAACGAAAGGTTTGTACAGCTTCTCCAACATTGGTAAAATAAAAATACATCTTATAATTATACAGAAAATAAATGCAAATGTACATTTACACTTGTCAACATTCCCAACCACCACGTTTTTTATTCGGAACTCTTACATTTTAACAAAGAAAAGGAAATGGTGATACAGATCTGTTCTCGTTAATGCGTTCATGGCTATTTACATAAATAAACTATCAATTTATCCAGACTACTTAACAAGGGCTGACATGTGTGAGTTTGTTGGTTCTTCCAAGCCTTTAATAACAATTAAAATTCATAATGCGCATTCAATCCGAGGATTCCAATGCGCAATGCATGGAAAGCAGGAAACAAAAACAGAACCAGGGCAACCGACCAAACTAAAGAGGGAAGGCCACTTTAAAGAGTTGGGTTTTCAAGGCAGACTTAAATATATATATCGACTCTAATTGCCTGA